TCAGCTTTTCGGGCTCGGGGTCTCTGCAGCACCCCGGACTCCTCAGGCTCTTGGTCCGGACTGCACTCCTGACCCGCTTACCTTCTGATAACCTTTCCCCTGCCCCGCCTTGGTCAGAGGGTCATTCTGGGGCCGCTTTTAGAATTTGCGGGGCTTCAAGGGAAGTGTGGAGGCGGGAAGACTGGAGGGGGAAAATCCGACAGCTACCCTAAGATCCATGATAAGCCAGCTACCCTAAGATCCATGATAAGCCGGTAGAGCTGAGTGCCTTCACAGACCGAGGGAGGTTTGTGGGGTTAGAAACGGGTAAAACACAGTAACATAAACACAGTGCAGATCTACAGCGTGGCGTTCTACCAGCCTCCAAGTCTCATCGGAGCCCATCCTAAGATAGGCAAACACACACACACACCCATCCCAAGACAGGCAAACACACACACACACACACACACACACACACACACGCCCCGGTGAGAGGAGAGAAAGATCTGTAAGTCTATCATCTGCCGTTACTTGGGTTGAGAATTACAGCATCAGAAAGTGGACCTATGGCCAAGGAAAATCGCTGATTTTCTTTTTCTCTTTACTCTCATGCACAGTGGGGATCTTACAAGAGCTGACTGCATTGAAGGAATTTAAAAAGTTTAGATGGTCATCATTGTACCCAGAGGATTACCGAAGCAATTTAGGTTCCTAGTAACTCAATGATGAAACCTGGAAAGCTCTCCTACCCCTTGAAAACATCTCAAAACAGAGGTTTCCTTCTGACCGTTACTTACCCACCTTCTTTCTGCACCAGCCCCTCTACTTAGACCCTCTTCAATTTGGGTTGAGAGAACAAAAATTCAGTAAACAGAACAAACCACAAATACTGTCACCCGTCTCAAATAATAATAACAGTACTCCAGAGAATGATTAAACAAGTATGCCTTGAAGGCCTACTACATACAGAAAATCAAGGGGGCAGGGGCAAAAAGTTAAAACAAAAAATAGCTTGCATCATAACAAGTAAAATAGTACAGTGCAAATTAAGAGCATAAAGGAACTGGAGGTAAATCTTTGGGTTCAAATTTCAGTGCAAATACTGAGCAATTTTGTGACTTGGGCAAGTCATTTAACCTCTAAGCCACAGATTCTTATTCTAGAAAAATGAGAAGAAAAAGAACTCTTTATTCAGTGGATTGTTGTAGAATGAAGTATATATTTGTCACACTTTGCGTGTGATTAATAAATATTAGAAAGCTTTTCATGAGTAAGCCATAATTAATGGACAGGATAGCAAATACAGTTTAGTTGCATTCAAGTATAAAGAGGGGGTATAAATTTGGTTCAATTATTTCACATTAGACTGAGAAGAAAACAACAGACATTTCAAGGGAATTAAGATAAGGTTAAGAAGAATATGTATTAAAGACCCAAGCAATGGGTTGCATGCGGTGGCTCACACCTGTAAGCACTTTGGGAAGCCAAGGCGGGAGAATCATTTGAGGCCAGGAATTCCAGACCGGCCTGGTCAACATAGCAAGACCAGTCTCTACAAAAAAATTTAAAAATTGGCTTGATGTGGTGATGCGTGCCTGTAGTCTTGGGTACTCTGGAGGCTGAGGCAGGGAAGTTCACTTGAGTCCAGGAGTTTCAGCCTGCAGTGAGCTATGATCACACCACTGCTCACCAGCCTGGGTGATACAGTGAGATCTTGTCTCTAAAACAATGACATAAATTAAACATTAAATAAATAAAGACACAAGTAGTAATCAAACTGTGAAAATATGAAAGAATGTTTGTTTTCTCTGTGCAGGAACATCTCAGAAGTATCTCTTGCCAGTAAATGTAGCTAATATAATTAAACATACATGCTTACTAGTTACAACACCTAAGATCAGCTTATGCCTAAAGTGAGTTTTTATTGTACTGCAGAAACAGCATTGGGCATCTCTCTGGAAGTCTTTGCTGATAAGGGTGCCTAGAAAAAATGTGAAATCAGAACAATAATGTGGAATTCTGGACATGTGTCAGTTGCTGATGGGCATCCTCCAAGATCCCAAATGTACAACTAGAAAACAAAATGTAAGTACTCTTAAGAGATCATGCTTCAAAGTCATCTCTCAGTATGAAACATAAATGCAAAATAAAGCTGGTCACTAACTGCCTTCCACTATTCTTTACTGTAATACTCATTATTTTGTAAATGTGTAGTAGGTCTCTACTCTTTATCAAACATTTTTGGACAAGTCTTGGGGATGAAATGGCAGACACGTACTCCCTAGCCTCTTCCAGTTTATGATGGGAAACAGCCATCATAGAAATCATTATAAGTGTAAAATGAAATGGGAAACAAAGGAGATTATGGAATTCATAATTGATGCAGATATCTCAGTTTAAGGATTTGGGTATTGCTTGTCTGATGACAGGATGTTTTGATGGAGATTTGGAAGATAGGCTATACTGATGATGACATGGGGGAAGAAAGTTACAGGAAAGGAAATAGTATGTACAAATATGCTGAGTCAGGAGAGGATGGAGTAAATGAAGAATGAAGGAAGAACAGTAAGATTAGAGGACAAGGGCAATAGTGGCTGTTAATGCAATTGAAGGACTGGGCAGGAGCAATTGGAGATCACTGATGAATGGAAGGAGAGGAACGAAGAGATGAGTTTTAATCACACTGGAGGAAGACAGTAGTGACTGTA